TGTAAAGCGAGGTGTTTATCAAGTGCTTTGAGACTGTTTGGTGGACTTATTCTCCGGGTTCGTTGCCTGGTATGTTGGCTATGGGACAGAAGTGAAGACTAAAGTCTCTACTTCATCCGTTTTCAACTTTCCAGCTCACCCAGGAAAAATCCCCTCTGTTCCAGAAACAGCTGCATGTTCTCTCTAGGCTCAGAACTTCTCAGTGCCTCTGCTTCTTCCTCTGTTCGGCTCACTGTAAAATGATGTTCCAGAAACCTATCATTTCTAATGGTAGCAGCGAAGGCGGAGCAGGATTTCCACAAACTGATGTTCACAGATGTTGCTGGCGTACTGTCTAATGGAGAAAATACAAGCCCAGGGTAATCAGTGAGTGGCTTACAGAGCCTTCCAGCGCTCGTCAGACATTTGTAGATTAAGCCTGCAACGGACCATTAGAGCATCTAGTCTGGCAGTCTAGATAACACAGGCCATAGAATTTCACCTGGTTATCGCTGTACTGAGCCCAGTAACTTGTGTTTGGCTAAAGCAAACCCTCCAACAAGACACCCAAGCTTAAGATGGAGAATCCACCACTTCTCTTGGTAGAGTGTTCCACTGTTAGAAATTGTGCCTTATTTCTAATTTGGCTGGCTTCAACATCCAGCCAGTGCTGCTTGTTCTGCCTTTCTCTTCTACATTAAAGAGCCCTTTAACACCTGGTATTTTTTTGCCCACTGAGGTACTTATACACCATAAGTCACCGCTTGATCTTCTTCTTTATTAGCTAAACAGATTGGGGCTCTCTGAGTCTCCCACTGTAGGGCCATCAGATCATTTTTGTGGCTCTTCTCTGCACCCTCTGCAGTTTTCCAACTTCCTTTTGAAAATGTGGCCACTGGAACTTGTCACAGTTTGCCAGTTTTGCTCAATGGTTTGGAGCCAGCCAGGGTAGCTGGGGAGAGGAATATGGTCCCATCAGAGGCCTGTGTGAAATGAATTTGGTGAGTCAAGTTTCACCAAGAGTCCAAGGACCGAGTGAGAGCCGTGGATGCTAAACTCCTTTTGTGAGCTCGGGGTCAGGGGTGAGGCTTGTTGGCTGGCCAGGCTGTGAGAATCTTACACACGACTGCCTGGGTGGTACCAGTTCTGTTGATATGCAGGGAGGACTGAGTTTTCAGGACTGTCGATCTTGTAAATTTCATGAGCGCAAAATTCCTATCCAGTTACATTTGTTTTTGTTTTTTAAATCCTCTTCCCTTCTCATGCACCCATTAGCGCTATTCCAGGAACCTGCCAGCTCCGGAAATGTGCTATAAACACCCAATGCCCCGCTATCGTAGGTATCAGCCAGAGCTGTCAGCAAGGGGCCCCAGGGACGGTTTCTGGAATTGGCCCCTTAGGTTATGTCTACACTGCAATTAGACGCCCATGACTGGCCCAGGTCAGCTGACTCGGCTAAGGGGCTGTTTAATTGCCCTGTAGTCATTTGGGACTGGGGCGAACCCTCCCATCTTGCAGGGTCCTAGAGCCAGGCATCCGGAACCTAATCGTCTACACTGCATTAACCCTTCGGTGTGTCAGTTTCCACCAGCTGCTCCCCAGTTGCTAGCACTGGCGCTGCGGCGAGAAGGATACACTGGGCCAAATTCACCTCCGGTTGGTCGCTCCAGTAACTTGAGTTGGAGGTCCGGTTTCTGGGTCCAAACATCCTCACGATTCTGGGGTGCTTTTGGCCCCATGTAGCGTTAAGCAGAGCCTCCAACACCCTCCAAAGTGGCCATGGTTGGAGTCCAGCTTGCGGAGACACAGCAGGGGTTCCCCCCAGAATTGTGTTGGTGTCCACAAAGTGGGCAGCGATCAAGAGCTTTTATGAAGTTTCCATAGGCCTTTGTTGTTGCCACAGTGGTGGTGGGGGCAGAGGGATGCCATTTTCCAAGATGGCAGATGGGAGGGTGAGACTGTTTTCTGCCAGGACATGGGGTGCGAGGGATTTAGCGTCGTCCAGAAAGCGGCTGACAGCGGCTGAAAGAGGGAAATGGCCCGGCCAGCTGGAGGATGCACATCCCCTCAGCTTGCAAAGCTTCCGTGGAGCCCAGAGTGGGAATTAAAGTGCAGCTGACATTTACCACCCTAGGGGTGAATTCCCCCCTCGTCCCCAGGCCTCTGTGGGTCAGGGAAGGGTAAATTCACTTCCTTGAAACATGGGGACCTGCTCTGAAAGTCCTGGCAGCCCAAGGCAGGGAGGGTCATTACAAGGAATGAGGGATACCAGAGGCTTAGCCACCCATTGCTTTGCATTTACAAGGGTCTTCAGGTACCCTGGTGTCAGCTCCGAAGCATTAGTGGCGTCGGGTCATTAGCAGCCGTGACACTTAGCAAGTGTGCCTAGCCGGGCTGTAGATTTGAAGGTGCTAATGTGTCTGATCAGGGCCTAACGGTATTTAAACCCAGCAAATATTGTTTCTGTAACCTAGCAGAGGATGAACTTTCCATAGCCACAGACCGGGGCACACGTGGGCTACCAGGCAGTGTATATGGAGACGCTCTGGGGATGAAGTCATTGGGTGCAGAGACGATTCCCCCCCCAGTCCCAGTGCAGTCTGCGTGATGCAACGGGATTGTACAGGACTTGGGCAGCTTTTATTCTGCTTCCCTGTAATCCGGGGGTCTGGATGGAATCTGCAGTCATTGGTATCCACAGCTGCCCAGGTGAGAGGCAGCGTATCCTAGTGGGTAGGGCACTGGGCTGAGAGTCGAGGTTCTAATTCTGGCTCAGTCGCTGATTTATTGTGTGACCTTGGGCAAGTCGCTTCCCTCATCTGTGCCTCAGTTTCCCCCATCTTTACATTGGGGATAATGATACTGACCTGCCTTCGAGGTCTGTGGATGAAAAGCCTTGTGGAAGGACGACATAGATACTCCATTTTTATTGTTTTTAATCATTTTGATGGATAATATCAATGTGTATTTTAAAGCATTTTTTTCTATTATCATGTCATATTTTCCCAGTTGCTCAAAGTTATGGGTTTTAAATATTTTATTTTTATCTATTTAAACGTTCACGGTTGTGGGAAATTACGGGATGGGGCGGGGTCAGACATGAATTATTTAATGACAGGTTGAGGTTGAGATTCAAAAAGTTTAAAGCTTTATAATTGTTGAAACACAAACTGTTAACATCCCATGTCAGAATGTACAAAGCAAATAGTCTGAAATCAAATGGAGTCCTCGCCTTCCTTTGCCTGTTTTGCACATTTTGATTGTTATCGATAGGAATATTTTGTCGTGGGTATATGTGTGCACGGGGAAATAGATGTTTACCAACATTTATTGATAACAATCGAGTCCTTCCAAGCCTAACTGTGTGTGAGGAGGAGGCAGACAAATGAAGCAAAATTGTCCAAAGTGCAAGCCCCTTTGTACAGTACCTAGCGCAGTGGGGTCCGAGTCCGGTACTGGGGCCCCTAGATGCCACGGTGATACAAATAAATAATAATAAAGTGTGGCTGGTTCAAAACAGGGTGTATAAATAACACAGAAGCTCCCGGCTCCCAGACGTGATCAGTCCACTGGCCCACACCCCCCCTTAGTGAGTTGCATTTCAAGCTCTTTTCGGGCATGGGAACCTGTCATTTTCATGTGTAAATTCCCAGCACTCTCTAAACCATATATTAAAACCTTTTAATTAAAAAAATGAATCAGGGAGATCTATGGATTAAAAAAGTGCTAGACAGAAGGGCCAAATATGATGGGCATTTATATACCACACTGATGAGTCGGGTGTGAATGGCTAGATAACTGTTATTATAAAGTCTGCTGTAGATTGCAGAAGGGTAAATCCAGAGTGACTCCGCTGGACTGGACGTTATCAAACAGGAATGAGGTTAGCATCAGGCCTTCTAAATTCTGCTCTTGGTTACCTAGAGTTGGATGGAGGGGTGCTATGTTGCCTAGTGGTTAGAACACTGGACTGGGACTCGAGCAACCTTGGTTTTAATCACAGCTTTACCTTGGCCTGCTTATGACCTTGGACATGTACTGCCCCCATGCCTCAGTTTCCCCATCTGTAAAATGGAGACCATGATACTGACCTCCTTTGTAAAGTGCTTTGAGATCTACTGATGGAATGTGCTATAGAAGAGCTGGGGATGATGATTATTATGCTGTTGTAAATCTGGAGTGACTCCAGTGAAGTGGACAACGTTACACCAATATTAGCGAGGACAGAATCCGATCTTATAAACAAGGTCTCTGACACTGATGTAACTGGAGTCAGAATTTGGTTCATTGCTTTTCTGGGGCTCTTTAAACTACCTCTGGCTGTTGGGATGAACACAGAAGGAGCTATGCTTTCCTGCTGCTTCTCTGCAGCGGTGTAAATCCGGAGTTACGCTAGTGGAGTTAGCCAGGTGTAAAAGTGATTTAAGCAGGTGCCCACCCTCGCCGAGCCAGATCTTCAGCTGGTTCAGATGAAGGCAAGCTCTTTAGAAATCTGCGACAGCTGCCCGACTGTCTTTTATAGCTGGCTCGGGCGGGGAGGGAGCGAGAGAACTGCCTGGTGCTTCGTGTGACCTGAAAGAAGTCGATACGGTCGAATCACTAGCAGAAAAACCACATCCCTCTCTTCCTCCTCCTCTCCACACGCACGCGTGCGCGTACACACACATATACACACACACACACACACACACACGGCGAAGCCTGCGAGGATTGGCTCGCCCGCCCCCTCGCTGAGGCGGGCAGGGGAGTGGGCATGCATATCACGTCCACAGTGTTTGTTTCATCGGGGTGGGGGGGGAAGCGAGCCGGAGCTCAGCGGTATGATAATGACTCTAGCGTCTGGCAGAAAGAAAAAAAGCCCCTGAATGCACCAGGGTGTCTGTAACCGAGCTTAAAGGAGAATGAAGCAAGATGGCTGCCTGGTAGTGGTGGATTCTCGCTGGAACTGACGAGGGCTGGGGGGGGGATTTTTGTGCGGGGGTGGGCGATCGCTGGCAAGCTGAGAGAGGAAAGAGAATTAAAAGCAGAACAAGGTAAATACAGGCTCTGCCTTGTGTTTCGTTTCAATGCCCTTTAAATGCGCGAGTTGCCCTCCCCAGTCCAAGGGAATTTGATAGGGATTTTCTAATAGACAGTGTGTGTTTAAATAACACACAACATGCCCCCCCCTTTCTGCATGCAATTCCCTGGTAGCAGGAGGACTGTGGTAGCTGGTGTTGCCAGGACCGGCTTGGCCTGAACTGCATTTTATTCTGACTTTTTTTTTTAATTCCCCTTGCAGGTGGAAATAAGGGACAATAAAGAAGGTGGGACGCAGGAGCAAGTGCTGGTGACAAAGGTACCTTTCTTTTCTTGTTTAAAGACTGAGGACAAAGCCTGGAAGGGAATCTGCGGCGGGGGGTGGAATTGGCCAACCACTAGCGATAGCGAAGCATGTGTTGCGGTATTTAAAAACCCAGGCGTCTCCAGCTTTACCCCTGCTGAATTGCAGATGCTTCTTCATCCAGGCATTTGCTGTTATTATTTTAAGCTGTGATGTTTTTGCAAGGGGGGAAGGAATCACTGCTTTTCAGCAGCTCCTCTCCTCTTGTGGTGCAGAAGCAAAAATAAAGAAATATCGCCACAATCCCCTCTTCCCCCTTGTCTTTACAGGGGAGCAGCAGCCTCTCTCCCCTCTCTCCCCTAGATCTGCTGAGTCCGGTGCAATTAACAAGAGAGACTAGACTCTCCCACTTTGAAGCAGGCATGACATCACCCTGATGTAACCATGACGACAGCAGCTGTCATACCTCACTAGGGTGGACCTGGAGAGTCTGTCTGAGCTGCCATGACCCAAAACCACAACTCGGTTTCTCTACTTCTGGGGGAAAACATCATTACGAAGCGGAGGGGGCAGGCAAGGTTTCTTAGGTTTTGTCACTTGAGGTTTAAGGCCGGATTCCACTCCGTGTTACGCTGATGTCAACCCAGCTGAAATCAATGGGGTTACTCCAGAGTTAGACCTGGTCCTGTACTCCTCTGCAGATCTGATGCCTGTGCCTTGGGAAAATACCTAGGAGTGGCTCACCATGGGGTTGCTATGGGGACAAAGTTTGGAGTGTGACACTGCAGCTTGCCTCGACGCTAATGCTCTGGGAAAATGAGATGGGGGAAGAGGGAAGGTGAGCGAGCTGATTTCATTAGCGGTATCAGGAGCGTTACCTTGCAGGGACTGTGGCCGGGTCTACTCTAGAAAATTAGGTTGGTTTAACTCCATCGGTCGGGGGGGGGGAAAAATCCACACCCCTGAGTGGTGTTGTTAAGCTGACCTACGGCCCCCTGTAGACTGTGCGAGATTTGATAGAAGAATTCTTCCATCGACCTACCTACCGCCTCTCGGGAAGGTGGGTTACTTACACCAACAGGAGAACCCTTGCTGTTGGCGTGTATAGTGTTTAACTGAAGCGTTACAGCGGCTCAACCAATGTGGTTCCGTTACTGTGTATTTGCCAGTCTCTGATTATTTTTTTTTAAAGTGTCCCACGCAATGGGGTTTCCATCATTCCTCTGGGGAGACCACTCCACAGATCTTGCTGATAGGAAGATTTCCTGATATTCAGTCTGTGCTTTAGAAATAACGGGCAAGATCCTCCGCTGGTGTGAACCATTTTAGCTGCATTGACATTGACAAAACTACACTTTTGACACTAGCTAAGGGCCAGTCGTTGCTTATTTTGTTCTCTGATTGCATTTCCCATTCCTCAGCTGTGTTGCATCCAGGAGCCAAGGGAGAGGAGCTGGATATGTATATCCTGGCTATTTCTAGGGCCACTTTCACTATGGTGTCTAAGGGCAAAGCAGCTCAAAAGAGGGGGTAAGGGGATATTGATTAAAGTTGGAGCTTCCAGCAACGCTGGGCGTGTTCCTAGTGTGCCCTATGTGTCGTGTTCTCACAATATAAAATATTGCCATTCGGAGCGCCCACGGTGCCTAGCAATGGGGAATCTGCCCATGGTTTGTTACATCAGCGCAAGATCCAAGTCCGGCCCTCGGGCTCCTTGAGGCGAAGTGCTGAGCACCTACAATTCCGTGGTTGCTGCAGGTGCCCGGTGCCTTTGGAAATCAGGCAGTTGGTTACGGTAGCTTCCCTTATACCCATTTGTAAATGACAACCGTCTCTGAGTTTGGGGGGTCCTGTGCAGAGAGGAAATGTAATGCTTGGAAACGCTACTGCTCCCGGTCGTGTAACTGGAGTGTTGCTTTGCAATTTTAAGTAAGGTTGTTCCCGGGGTCCCGATGGAGGGGATCCATGATCCGTAACCTGCTTGCTGCTGTTAGCTGCGACCTAGCAAACAATGTGTCACGTCCTCCTGCTTGATTCCCACTGGGCCTGATTCGGATCTTATATCAGTGACTGTGCAGGCGTTGCGTCATTGACATCAGAGGGTGAGATTTTTTTGTAATTCAAAAGCACCTAAGTGAGTTAGGAGCCCACATCCCATTGACATTTAGTGGGTCTTGTGCTCCTAACTCACTTTGGCTGCTTTTGAAAATCCCATCCAGTGGTGTGAGTGAGCGTCGACGTCAATGGAGCTGTGCCAGTTTATGCTGGCTGAGGGTCTGGCCCATTGGATGCATGCACATTTTGCAAGTTCAGCCTCCTGCCAACCAGGTGAGCTGGAGGTTGCATCAGGGCCCTTGCCAGGGAAGGTACCAAATTGAGCAGCTGTTGTCATGCTAGCTTGGTAAACAAACAAGTCCTGACTGGAGTGCTAAGTCTTTGGTGGCACCTAATTAGCACTGATGATGTTTGTTTGCTTTACCAATGTGGATCCTTTATCACAGGTAATTAGGGAAAGGTCAGGCCAGAGAGGGCAGTTTGCATTTGGAGTGGGGAGGATGGGGAACAAAAAAGACCCTGGCCTGCTGCCTGACCTCTTCCTTTCTTTTGTTTTTGGTGTGAAATGCCACGCCAGCGCAGGTACAAGGGGCAGATATTGTAGCAGCAGGGTTGCAAAGGGTGGGAAAGCAAGTAAATGAGATTTCTCCCTCTCCAAATTCAACCCCTTAACTTGCATTAACCAGATGAAATTCACCCCTCCCCCCTCCAAGTCGGCATTGATGGAGTTTTGGGGGGTGCAGAATGGAATCCATCCCAGCTGGTGGGCACATTGGCCAGACCCTTCCCGTTCCAGCTCCTGTGAGGGGCGCGGTGATGAATGGACAGTTCCAGCCATGGCGGCCACATCCCTTCCACCTCTCCCTCCCCTGTGCTGTACTCTCCAGAGCTCTAACGAAGCCCCCTTCTGCAACAGGGTACGGCCTCCCTTCTCAATCACCAGCCCTTGGGCAACGGAAGCGCCCCGGCCCCACCGCACTGGGGTCCTCAACGGGGTGGGTTCCATGCACCGAGGTGACACCTGCCATTTCGAGGTGGGGGGTGTGTGTTTGTGTGTGACAGTATTTTGAATCCAAAGCCAAGCAAAAGGGGCCTGTGACCGCCATTTTTCTCCTCTGATATTCTCCACTCTTTGCCCGGATGTATGGTAGCCGGATACCCTGCACCCAGTTATTCCCTGCATCCATTTCCATTGATCTCTCGGTGGTTGGGATTTCCAGGGTGCGGTGGCACCAGTGGGTTTGTGCATCACCCCGCTCCCCGCCGGAAGCATGCCCTCAAACCCAGATTCACGAGCGGAAATGACTTTAGGTCTCAGCCCGGGTAACCACCTACCTGGATGGTTTGGCATGGTTCAGTGCCACCGTACATCTTCGCTCAGGAGAGATCCATGCCTGGACTAATGGGGTTCTGGGTGGGTCGGGACTGAGGTTCATTGACAGGGTTGGGATGGAAGGCCCGGAGCTGGAATCGGGGGGGGGGGGGAGCTGATGGTTAGAACTGAGGGGCATTAACGTTAGCAGAATTGCATAGGGTGGCCGGGAACTGGAATAGTTGAGAAGGGAGGGGATTGAAGGGCATGGGCAGAGCTATATATACGCAGGACTGCGGGTCAGGATCGGGCTGCGTCTGGCACAGCAGAGGGACCTTCTATCAGGCTGGAGGTGCCTCAGGAGAGGGGGAGATGGTTTGCACGGTACTTTCCCGCTCTGACGTAGACCAGCGCCCTGCCAGTCCCTTGCTTCTGCACGCCCTAAGTTCACTCCCAAATCTTAAAAACATATTTATACCCCTGTCTGTGACATTCATCTTATTTGTGCTTTGAGTTCGCTGGAAGACACTTGACCGATGCTGTGTTATTGGAAAAGAGCCTTGCTTTTTCACTGTGCTCTGATCCGAGTGCAGTTGAAATCAAATGTGAAGAGGCTGGAGATGGGAAAGTCTGGGTCTAATCAGCTCGTCTATATTCCCTACCGATCGATGCTTGTACGAATGGTGGAACAGAACCCTCCCTGCCAAAGTTCAGCCATTGCTGCAGATCAGATCAGCTGGCTCCACCGGAAATGCTGTAACCAGGAAGGGATCTTTCCAAAATGGCCATTTCGCCCATCCCCAACATTGTTGGGAACCCAAGAAGGATGCTTAGCAGATGCCAGTTCTGCATGGAAGAAGATTGGCTGCATTGATTCCCAGTGTGCTGTCAGCATTGTTTTCTGAAAGGTATTCAGAATGAGACCTTGAGCAGAGACAATACTGCATTTTTGTTTGTTTAATCTAAAATGGCAGTTCTGTTTTTTGTAAAGTGTACCTTCTGCAGATCCATTCAGCTGCATCCCTTTAGTAGTAGTATTTCCTTTTAAAAACGAAATCAACTAGCTGGGAAATGTTCACCACTGAGATCTCAATTTCCAAAGCAGCCACATGAAGAAAAACAAACAAACAAAAAAAGACGGGTTTATCGTAATAGTTCTAATTGCCTGCTGCATTCTTGTGCCTCCAATCAGTGCAGCATGCAAGGTATGAAATAATGTCTGGATGGCTTTTCCCCAGGGACCAAGCACAATTATGTACTGCTGATGTCATAGAGTGGGATCATGGGTCCCATCACTTCTGGTAAATTGCTGGATTTCAGGTGCTCTGCAAGAGCATCTGTATGTTACGTGCAGTTGTCCATGTAGACTGTGATCTACTCAGGGCATGGAACACCCTTTCTTGTATGTCTGGAAAGCAGCCAGGAGATTGCGGGTGCTGCTTCAAATAAATAATCATGAAAAGAAACAGCTGTGGGTTTCTTCTTCGGGGACAGATGTTGCGGGGAGGTGGGAGACTGTGAATCAAGTGATCCAGATTGCTGCAAGGACTTGCTCCCATCAGAGGATTTTGCAGTTGACTTCTTTAGGAGCAAGATTGGTCCCTCAGGGTCAGTCCAGAACCCTCTTGTAGCAAGACATCCAGCCAGA